TTATTAACATACTTGAAAAGGTATTTTATGGACCTGGATTGGTTACACCACTCAACATTCATGTGTGCTCGGTACTTTAAAAGCAAGGCTTTATTGTGTGGCACGACATATCTATTGTCCAATTGCATACCGTTCTTTGTTACGGTCATACCCTCATCACGTCGCCTATAAATTGGGTAGCCATCTTCATCTAAACTTGAACATTCAACAAACCTTTTTGGGAAATGCTTAGAACAACGGCCATTGACCATGCAAGGTGATTTTTTCCGTGCAGCCCCACATGGTCCATGCTTTCACTTTGTTTCTTTGTTTTCATACCATTTCTGAATGTAATTGTTGTTGCATATATATGAATCACTACATTTAAGGCAAGTGGTCTTGGCTTACAAATTATAGAAACATAGATGTTTTTATTGATCATAATCTTAGCTTAGTACATCACATAGCTAGAAACTCAGGTACATTCCTTGATACCCCATAGTAAACCAAAAAACTCAAAGTCTATCTAGGTTTGGTTGTTGAAGATTTTTCCAGGAATAGGTTTTGGTCAGTCAACATGAGACCTGTTCAGTCAACCTAACCTGCATAGAAATATGTTATGTTTATAATAGATCATAAAGTTAATTACATGCCAAACAGCCAACCTCAAAACCTTACAGATAGAGATTGTCATATCAAGCTTGAAAGATGGGAATAAGGACTGTAAACTGATCCAAACGTTCCCATATAGCATCCTTCAAAGGGCACAAAAGAATTTTTGTACCATTTGAGCTTATTAACGAATCATTATAATTGATTATCATTTTGGTTCCCCTATTTTAGTGACATTTTCATTTTTAGTCCCTGACAAAACAATTTTGTATATTTAGATCTCACATATTATAATAGTACCACTTTTAATCCTACTTTTAGTCATACATAATTTAATACTTTGATTGTTAATATGTAAGATTAACTCTTTTTTTTTTATAATCTTAACTACATACAGGTTAAGAGAATGGGCAATCATGTTGTGTTAAAGATCTTATGATGGATCAGCCAAGAAGATTGCTATGGATCCATAGGTAATTCGATCCAGCCTAATTAATATATGAATCACTACATTTAAGGCAAGTGGTCTTGGCTTACAAATTATAGAAACATAGATGCTTTTATTGATCATAATCTTAGCTTAGTACATCACATAGCTAGAAACTCAGGTACATTTCTTGATACCCCATAGTAAACCAAAAAACTCAAAGTCTATCTAGGATTGATTGTTGAAGATTTTTCCAGCAACAGGTCTTGGTCAGTCAACATGAGACCTGTTCAGTCAACGTAACCTGCATAGAAATATGTTATGTTTATAATAGATCATAAAGTTTATTAGATGCCAAACAGCCAACCTCAAAACCTTAGAAACCATGCCATTTCTTGCGTAAAAGTCAAAGATAGAAATTCAGTTTGGCACAAAGTCATAGTGTGCCATTATTGGAATCAACCTACATATACCCAAAACATCAAGACACAAAGAGTTCAAAATGTTTACAAACGTAAAACAACACATCAAGCCAGCTTTTCTTTTTTGATAGTTATATCCCTTGTCTTTTTAGAGCTTTGTGTGGATGAAAATTCATCCAACAAACTTCTCTTCAATGATCTGCTACCTGTGTCAGTGAACTCCTTGGGAGATCCTTGGTGACAGATTGAGCTCTCCACTTCGTTTTCAGAAACAAACTCCTATTACCAAAACATATACGTTAGTATAAATATTATAAGAACTTTTATTTTAAAATTAAAAATGTCTATTTTATTTACCTCATCGTCCCCCTCCGCTATGAGTTCTTCCTTATCATGGTCACCATTCTCGAGTAGATCAGGGGAGTATGCATCAATCAACGCACGATCGTTTATAATCTTCATAACTGCGAAAGCATTATGAAGATTGTCGAATTGCTCTTTGCGTGCTGCTATTTTGAAAACCATAACGACACCACGAATGGCCAGGATTTCATCGGGCAAAGTGGGCATACCCTAAAATAACAAAACAATTTGTTAAAATGAAAAAAATTAAGAAGGTTGCATGCCTTGCAATTAGAGAATAATAATTAGAGGTTAATTATTAATACCTGAGGATATTTTTCAAACAGTTCGGTTGCTGTTATTCCGATGAGTTCAGTACATTCCCTATCCCATATAATGAACGGCGCATTTCCTGCCCTATCGACTACTCTAACCCTCAATCTATAGCGCAACACTCCATCCCCCCCTGTTTTTTTACACTTATAGCATTCTAAAATGCCTTTCTCATTGAGTGCCAGTTTCTTATTACAACCACGGGTTTTGCAGGATCTATAGCACCAATCTCTATTACTTTCGATCTCAACAATTCGGGCCACAACCCAGAAGTCACCGCACTAACATAAGAAAAATAGTGTAAGATTTTAGTTAGTAACTATTGACCCACTCTTAAATTTTTTGAATATTTAATTATTCAAAATATTACCTGACCCAACGAATAAACCTCAGGAATAGTATAAATAACCATTGACCCACTCGTAAATTCATCAAATGTATTTGCTTGTGATAGACTTGAAATAGTGTTTACACTCCTCAATGGAGTGTGCACATCACCGAGTCTAAAAGAAAAGACTGTACATCAGTATAAAAACTAAAAAAAAGTAAAAAAGGTTTTCAAATCTACCTCTCCTTAAACTCAATGATCTCAGGTATATCTTCGTTGACCAATATATTAGTTGCATCATATGAACTTGAGAGCTTAATCTCCCCACCTGCATAACAAACTATAGTTAATATTACCTATCTTGATGATGATAGGTAATAATACATAAGAATAATACTGACTGTTCAGGTCCCGCTTGGCTCGGCAAAACTGCATGGTAACAATAACATGACCATTGTAGTTCCGATTAAACCATGGCTCCATCTTTGAGACATGGTTGTCCCAAACTGTACATTGCATTTGTTCACCCCTAGATACACAGTGTTTCTATGTGTTAATAATCAAGTAAATAGTATGTTATACATATAATGTATATATTTGCTCACTTATCGTCTTCAAGCACGAAGTCTATCAATCTGGAAGGTTTTCCACCAACCAATTTCTCCATAGGAGAATTGATCTCAACCAAGCGACCTATTATGTCTAATAAACCAAGAATAGGAAGATATTTAGAAATTGTTAAATAGGAAAAAATTAAAAAATAAACGGAGAAATAAAACTTACCAATAAGTTCTTTGTCATCAAAACCTTGATCAGATTTGAATTTAGAAAACGAAATAGGTCGGTACATAACTCTAGGGAATGTTATTTGCTTATACTCCTTTACTTCTGTGTAATACATGAATTTGATCATAAGATCGTTCGCGCAGGTCTTGTAGGTGTAGAAGCTAGTTATGACCAAGAAGTTCCTTATGCAATACACTCTGCCCTCCCTGAAAGTATTTTGAAACTTGCTAATGTATTCTCTAGGTATATGTCCATGCAAATAACTTCCCTGCAAATCATTATAAACATTAGAGACCATTACATATGCCTTGAAACTTGATAATAATATTATAACATTATAGAAAACAATACCTCCTTGTCGTGAAAAACGACTTCTTTGCATTTGATACTACTCTCCCTTCCCTTTCGGTCAAGGATTTCATATGTTCGAACACACCTTAACTTGATGGCATTGGAAGTTCTCTGAGGTGCAAGTTGGTTGGCCGTGACAAACAGAGGAGCCATGATATGATACTTGAAGTTCTGATGCTGCGTAATCTTTGAATTTGCGTTGGATGTAATTTCTTCTTCTCTCCATCGGTTTATATAGATCTTGTGTCGACTGTTCATTCTAGGGTCTGCGAATGGGAATTCATAAATGCCCCAGTCGAAAGGTTGTAAACTTATAATTATAGTGTAATAATTAGCTTATAATTAGAGTGTAATAATTATCAGATCGCTAAAATTCATAAAATCAGTTACCTTATGCGCCAATGGATGTAAGCCACTCGTTCACAGCTTCATTATGTTAAAACCAACCAAAACGGTGTCGTAATATTATATTTGGCATTTATTTTTCCCCAGACCATACAGCTTTATTATAAGTAAGATTAAAGACTAAATTTACAACTCATAATAATACTTAATAATTCAAATTTTACTTGCCTTATAACTTAGGGATTAAAAATATAATTATTCATTTGTATTTTTTTTTTTTGCTAATTTATGTATTTTTGAATTATTATTATAATACATTTAAATGTTCTTTTATATAGTTTCTTCAGTATAAGCATTGCCACCATTTGTAAGTACTAGTAGGTGCACCCGCGCGATGCGCGGCTATATATATAGTATGATATATATACAGTATAGAATATAGTTATTTGAACCTGTAAAAATGTGAAATGAAAAGTTGTGATTTTATTACACATTGATGAATATAGTAGTTTTATTATACATTAAGGGACACTACCTATATATTACATAGAATATTACGTATAATATAATAAGAATAAGAAACATAATAAGAAACGTATTATTTTGCACAAATACTAAATTTTAAATAATAAATTGTTGAATGTTATTATACATTATTGAAGACTTCTTTGTACACAACATTTTTAGTCGTACTAAGACATGGTACACTTTCCCCGCAAATCAAAATTTTCAAACCCCTGGGGTTACTAACTCTTGAAACAGCTACGTATAGTTGTCCATGGTTAAAGACCGGTTTTTTCAACAACAACCCAGCTTTAGCAAGCGTTTGTCCTTGACTTTTGTTGATTGTCATGGCATAGGATAGCATCAAAGGAAATTGCTTTCGTTGAAATTTGAAAGGCAATCTTGGATCTGACGGTGTAAGTGACATCCTAGGAATCAATACTTTGGTTCCTGCATTTGTACCGCACATGATTTTGCCTTCCAACACATGGTCAACCAACCTTGTAACAATCAACCTTGTACCCTAATGTGTGATCAATATTTCGCAATAGCATAACAGGTGATCCGACTTTCAATATGCATGATTTGGTACTCCAGAACATCTCAAGGCATTCAAGAATTCGGGAGTGTGCAAATCCGCTAACATATCAACATTGGCATCTGACTTACACACAGAATCACAACTCAAGTACGTCTTACCCTCAGAAGGATTATGATCATTCATGTATTGGTTAACAGCATCTACCACATCCAATGTTGGAGCTAAAATTGCACTATGATTAAGATATGACAAATCGGCAATTCCCAGTCGGAAATTGGGGAAAGTGCTATCAACAATTGTAGCAATAGGGTCATCTTCGCACTTCAACAACAAATCTTCTGGAACAGTAATCTCTGACTCCCCCTCAAGTTGACACCCAATAATTCCATCACCTATATTAGCTATCCATTTTGCAAATTCCTCGATCTCCTTGCACTCGGTTTCTGATTGAACACTCTTCAAACGTAGATTCTTAGTCAACTTTAGGACTTTACAGGATTTCCATAGATAGGATGAGCTAATGCTCGCTCTAACTATATCCGGTCTAGTACCCTTTGGAATGACTGGTAAAATTTGCCTAAAATCGCCCCCCAAAACAACTGTCTTACCACCGAATGTCATATTAGAACTCATTGGATTTATGAAGCGCATCAAATCCCGCATAGTTCGATCCAGGGCTTCAAAGCAGAATTTATGCATCTTGGGGGCTTCGTCCCATATTATCAACTTTGTTTGCACAAGAAGTTCCGCCAGTTCACTGCCGTTACGTATGTTGCATGTGGAATCTTCATTAACAGATATCGGAATAGCAAACCGAGAATGTGTCGTCCTGCCACCGGGCAATAACAGCGAAGCTATGCCGCTAGAAGCTACATTTAACACTATTTGACTCTTAGACCTTAATGCGGAAGAAAGTGCTCGCCACAAGAAAGTCTTACTTGTCCCTCCATAACCATAAACGAAGAATAACCCCCCTTCCTGGCGATCCACGTCAGTTAACACTTCATTGTATATTGCCTTTTGTTCGTCTGTTAACTGCCTTACCAATTCTTGATTCTCTTTCTCATGTTCGCACAATCGTATGCTAATTCTTCTTGAATAAATCTGTTTGCAATAACATTTAAGGCACCAAAATTTGCAGTTGGCATCTCAGGATAGTCCTTCAAACTCTTACCATGATTAGATAATAGCTTCTCAATCTCTACTAAAGCAAAGTTCATTTTGTGCGAATCGGTCAACACAAAATCTGCATAAATATATATAAAAATTTGATGTTATAACATAAGTACGTTAAACTTGACTGAATATTTTTAAAAAAATGTACGATTACCTTTGTTCTGCAATTGTCTACGGACGTTGAATTGTGCATCGTCTGATAGATGTTGCCAAACGGCATGCCAAACTATTTCCGGTTTCCCCATGCAACTGCTCATTAGCAATGTCACAAACAATCTCCTCAATTGATTTGCTGACGCCCAATGACTTGCTTCATCTATTGCATCAACATATTCGTTGTCATCATCAACTAAACCCCTTGCATAACACGCATCTCGGAATGAGTCATATTGCACCCCATTTACAGTCCTAATATCTTCATAACTTTTAGGGCCGCGGACTTTGTTCAGCAAACACCTCAAATAGAAAATTTCACCAGTAGCTGGCGGGACATAGAATATACGTCCTATTGAGAACCCTTTCTTTCGTGGCTGTCATTTTCTAAGATCTTTCTTCCAAACGAATCTTGTTGGCATCTCAACATAAGTAAGCTCTCTCGCATCGGAGTATGTTTTATTAGCTTCGAACCATTCTAAAAACATGCTCTGTGCTATCGTAGATCTATTCACAATGTTCTCAACAGCATCATCATCTGCAAATATCACACTCTTTTGATTAGGAAGGTGAAAGCTTAACCTTTCCACCGAAGTTGTATATCAAAACCAAACAGACGCCAGACCGCTTCACACGGGGATATGAACCTACAGTCATAGTACATATTTATCTCATCTATTGCTTTGTCATTCTCGTCATCATTGCCTGTTTTGTAAAACTCGGCGGTTACCCGATCATGACCCTTGTTAACATACTTGAACAGGTACTTGATTGACCGTGACTGGTTGCACCACTCGACATTTATATGAGCCTTGTACTTGAGCAATAAATATCTATTGTGTGGTACCACATACCTGTTGTCCAAGGCGATCCCGTTCTTTGTAACTACACTGCCATTGTCTCTCCTTCTATATACCGGGTAACCATCGTCATCAAATGTAGAACTATCAACAAATCTCTTAGGAAAATGTTTAGAGCATCGCCCATTTACCATACATGGAGAATTGGTCCTCGCTTTTCCACATGGACCATGCATCATAAATTCCTCTACCGCTTGGTAATACTCTGCATCTTTCTTTTCATCTGGAATCTCTGCGTAAATTATGTTGTCTAGAGTAAGAACTTGCCTAACTTCTTTACTTTTCTCCAAAAAAAGTAATATATGAGCATGCGGAAGACCTCTCTTTTGAAACTCAATTGTATATATGACTGCAACAACATAGACATAAACATCATAAGATTAAGTAATTACATAAAATTGTATCAAAATTGATTTAAAATAAAAGGACAAAATATTACCTCCAGCCACAGGGCCAAATATTTTATTCTTTCGACAATCAGCTATCAAAGCATCCAACTTAATCTTGAATAACCGGCAAATTATGTCCGGCCGATCTTCTGGCTTCAACCTTTGGTCTTTTAAAAAGCGTTGCACCTCAGGCCACTTCGGATTGCATGTAAAGGTTATAAATAAATCTGGGTATCCAATCCATCTACATATTGCCATTGCATCTTGGTAGTTTTGTATCATGTATCTAACACCACCCGTAAAACTTGAAGGTAGTATTATTCTGCGACCTTGGGCTGCAGGGCTTAATTCACCCCTTGTCAAAGCATCAGTCAATCCACTATAACTCTCACACCTTAGGCTTTTTTGGTGTGTCCTTATATAAATCAGTCTTCCAGACTCAACCATTGTGTAGCCATCTACAACAAATTGTTGGAACAACCGCTTTGCAAATAATATGGTACTCGGAGCTGACGGTCTAGACTGTATGCGGTAGCAAAAAAACTCCCTGGGACTAATCCTCTGTCTACCACCTGAGGAGCGCTTGCCTAAAACGTCAGCGAATGAAATGTCTTCCCGGTAACCGTCTTCGCCATATGGAAACAAAATAGGGTATTACAGCGGCAAGTATGAAGGATTTAATTCACTTATCCTCTGTAGGTGGCCACCCTTCGATTGAACAATAATATCACGCTTTCCAATACTGGTATCCAGATCTCCCACAATTAACGCTGCTACTTCTGAAACTTGCGGCAGATTATAGGTCCTCGCATCTCTATTTCGTTTTCCCAACAACTTGATTTTGACCTCGGCGCATGGATTAATATCCAACTCAGACATAGCCATCCGAAAAGACTTAACCAAAACATTATTTTCATCGAGGTCTTTCTGAATGACATTCACTATTTCTACATGAATGTCATCTTTCTCACCACTACCCCTACAACAACATAAACTTGATGTATATAGTTGTCAAGATAAAAACTAGTATCTAATGATTAGTATTAATACGCAAACTTTTGTACCTCACAGCATTGATACGGTTGATCTTTTCATTTGCCGTGTCGTATATATATAACTGGGCAAATTGAGGTTATTTGCCTTGTTCTGGAAGTAGAGTGCCCATTAGGTGATAGTTTTGACCACTTAATCAAAAAATTGGAGGTGCTCCCCCCTTGTTCACGCTCTTGTCAATTTTACCTCCCATGGATGTGAAGCAGAACATGTTGTTGTAGGTCCTAATGTTGTGTATAAATTCTTTTGATAATTCGTCATTGCCGAAAAAGAGATCAAATATACCTTTTGGTGGCAACTTATTCTCCGGCAACTTGATCTTCCCATTGTTGCAACACAACATAAACAGTGGAGATGCTTTTGTTGACAAATTCTTTTTCCTTTCTTCAAACCAAAACAAAGCCCCACAATGGACGCATTTATTTGTTGCATCACCAAAATCACAGTATTGACCTGAAACAAAATATATACAAAATGAAATACTGATTGATATTTTAAGGAGTTATAAAACAAATCTACATACCATGTTGTGGATCAGAGGATGTCCCCATATCGAAGTTTTGCCTATCATCGTTTCTCGATATATTTGCATCTGAAATTAGAAATACATTTAAAAATCAATTTTAATAGTTTAAGGTTTGCATATGTACTTTACTTATAGTTGTTTCAATAACCGCTAGAGTATCTTCTTACCAACTATGTACGTATTTGGTGCGTCGATCATTGTAGGGTTACATTCACCTTCAAAGGCAGATAGCAAGTCTCTTGTTGTTACATGGTCATCGGCAATTCCATATTTATGTAATGGTTTACGAATTGACAATTCATCTTGTGTTATCGTCGATGCAGGATTTTCTTTATCTACCAAAACAAATGGCTGGCAATTGGTTGCACCGATCTGTGTATTCGACGAACGTACTGTACACATACGGAATATTAGACAAATTTAAAGTATAACAACCTTTAAAGTCACATTTAATTTAAACCACTACATTTTAGTGGACTATAAAAAAAAAAAATAGTTGGTAGCACATAATAACAAAATAAATTATAGAAGTCTTAATATTATAAATTAAGTACACCTAACATCTACATTATGCTAGCCTAGAAAATGAAAAAAGTAATTTGATGGTATAAGTATTCTATTTTAGTGAAAAACTTATTAGGTAGACCATGGTTCACAAAAATCTGTGCACCATAAATAGAATTAGAATGAAAAAGTATATTTCACTAAGTACAAACCAACAAATTGATTACACATAATAAAAGAAATTTAACTATTTTAAAGAAAAATTAGAAATTGATATTAAAAAGTAAATCATATGAAGACAAATTAGTGAAATTACAATTCCACACTGAGTTCTATGGACCATGAGTTACATTATAATTAAATTCACAATGAATGTATATCAATTAATCTTAGGGGATTTACCGTTGGTGATGTTACTCAATGGTGTGATATTTTCAGACAAACATCCTCCAAGGGGAATTGAGTAAGGAGTAGTTGTCGTACGTTGATCTGTAGCTTGGGCAGCATTATTCGTAAAAGATGAGTTGCCGCAATAATTTGCTGCGATATAAAATATAACATTAAATTAAGAAATAATTCCAATAATTTATACTCGAAACAAATTAGTAGACATAACATAAATATTTGTTCAATTGCACGACATTAATATGTAATCGAATAGAATTAGGTAGACCATGGTCCGCATCTATTTGTGCAAACTAAATAGAATTAGAATGTAAAAGTATATATCGTTAAGTACAATCTAATTAATTAATTACACATAACCAAAAAAATGTAACTATTGTAAAGAACAATTACAAATTTATATTATTCAACATAAATTACATTAAAAATATAACATTTAATTTTACAAACATCGTTTAACAATTAAAACTATAAGGATATTTAAATTCACAATGAATGTATATCAATTCATTCTCGGGGATTTACCGTTACTAATGTTACTGAATGATGTGATATCTTGCGACGGACAACCGCCCCCCGAAATTTGGGAACGAATATTTGCCGTATGTTGGTCTTTACCTTGACCAGCATTAGTCATTAATGATGAGTTGCCTACATAATTTGCTGTGATGTAAAAAAAAAATAGAATACTATAATAACAACAGTAATAACAACAGTAATTACAGCAGTTAAAATTATATAAATTAATCACACCTAACGCTATTAATTATGTTAGACTATAAGTTGAAATTGTAATTGCTATCAATAAGAGTTACCTAATAAGTGGAACAATTATTAGGTAGACCATGGTCCACATAAGTTAGTGCACAATAAATACCATTAATACCAATCAAAGTATTATTGTGATACTAAAGTATTCCATGTACATTGGTATGGTACATTACTTACATTATAATTATACAATTTAATTTTACAGTCAATTTGTGCACCTAATTAAAAAGATAAGGTTTTTTAAAAAAAAAAAATGAAGGTATATGAATTCAACTAAGAGCATTTACCGTTAGTAATGTTACTCAATGGTGTGATGTTTTGAGACAAACACCCTCCAAAAGGAATGCGGGAAGGATTTATTGCCGAAGGCTGTTGTTTTCCTTGAGCAGAATTATTCCTTGTTGATGAGTTGCCCAATTCATTTTCTGTAATATAGAATCTAACATTAAAATAAAAATTATTTCAAATAAAAAAAAATCGTAAAAATGAATTACACATAACATAGTTCAGAGTACACCAATAATTTATAATTGTTAAAGATTTGCGTAACACTTCTGACGAAAGTAGTTGGTGTGACAGTAAACACACCTAACGGATAATATATTTATGGTAGCCTATAACCTGAAATTGTAATTGATATAAACAATAACCTGCCGCAAGTTTACTGGACAAATTTTTAGGTATAACATGGTCCACAAAATTATGTGCACAATCAATATCATTACCATGAAAAATAATATATCTAATTAATTACACATAACAATCACACCATTAAATAATATGAAGACTATATATATATTTATTAATTTATATCTATAAACTATTTAAATCTATTTATGTATTTATATAACAAAATATATATATATATATATTAATATATATATATATATATATATATATATATATATATATATATATATATATATATATTAATATATAATATTACGGAGTATATGTTTGTTCGGTCGGAATATTATGAGAAGAGGAAGAAGGGTGAATACCCCTCTCCTTCCCCTTTGTCTGAACAGATCAGTTATTCACCCTCTCACCGCTCACTTCCGATCTCTCTCTGTCTCTCCTAAATCTAGATTAGTGCTTAGTCGAAATCTGGATTTCAACTGTTCTTACTGAACATTGTTTCCGGAGAAATCTTAGACTGGTCTAGATGAGCATCTCCCCGATTCTCAGTACATAATCGCGATCTTTCATTTCCGTGAAAGATTGTAGTGTTCAACAACAGTAAATGGTGGAAATCACGCTGCAGTGAAGGTAATTTCGAACTACTAAGGTTAGTGTGCATTTAATTTCCAGTCAATTTGATTAGAGTTCGGATTTATCACTGTTGTTTGTTCTAAACTTGATCTAATTTACTGGATCTAAGCATGCATATCGAGAATCATAGATAAAAGCTCTTAATTTCTGATTTGTATGATTCATAAAAATTAGGGTTTTAAGTCGTCTTCTTTGTAGTGTTGCTATAAAAACACACAATTGAAATTACTGTTAACTGTGTAAATATCATGTTCAAAATGCTATAGCTATATTCTGGTACAAACAAATCCTAACCAATAAGTCTACTTTATCATGTTGTTTGTCATGGACATACTGGAATTATTTGAGGGGATGGAGAAGACAAACAGAATCGCACGGCAAGAGGGATACTACAATGAAGCTTCATTTCAAAAACAAAAAGATAAGTTTCGAACTTACCTTTATTTTCTTCACTTGGTTTCCTTTTGATGCCTATAATTGTTGACTTAGTGATTTTCCTCATTGCACTGTCTATTGTGTGTACTTGAAAATGTCTCTGTGAATTGTCTATTTGGTTGGGGTCTGAAACTAGAGAACTGTGTTGGTAGTTAGATGGGGCATCTTTCTTTAGATGGGTTGATTGTAGTTTACTTAACTTTTTGCCTTGATTTCGAAAAAAGGATTGGAACTGAAGAGTTTTCTATTAATATTAATGATAGTTGTCCATCAATTATATTTAATGTTTAGGGAATGTGTTTCTTTTCCTAAGAATGATTAACTTTTACTCAACAGGCCAATAATTCCATTGTCTTAAATTTCTTTAGATAATTTGTCAGAACATGGAACACACAGATTGATTCTTTGGTTCTAAAACTCTTCAAGATTCTCTGTTATGCCAGTCTATCAAATTATTTTCCTAATGAAATGACATTCTCAG